GGGTTTCCTGTGACTGATTCCGCTGAAGAAATTGCAGGCATTGAAATAATCCCCAATCCAATCGAGGGAAGATGCGTGGTGACGACTCTCGTAAACCCTAATCGAAAAAGACGATTGTTTGTGGATTGATTCGCCTTTGGGGAAAGAAGAAGAAGATTCGCACACGAAATCGATATGACGATTGTTTTGATTGAATTTGGTCGGTGTAGGGTTTGTAATGTTTTCAAACTACATGTGTATAGCGTGCGCCGTATGTGCGTATGTTAGCTTTTATGTTTGTATAGGATAAATCGCATAAAAAACCTTGAAGGTGGCAACCACTTACACTTTAAACTTTAAGAGTATTTTACAAGCACTTTAAATACTCAAGTTGGCAAATTTAGCATATTAAACCTCTAATTTGGCTTACTTGTACGTCAAGTCAAAAAGGTGACCGATACTGTTCATATACGATGACGTGTCGGTTTTTTTTAAAAAAAAAAATATATTTTACTAATAAATAAATATAAAAATACAGAAAATAGAAAATTCATTAAAAATCATTAAAATTTCATTAAAAAATCATTAAAAAATCATAAAAAATTCAAAAAATCATCAAAAAATTCAAAAAATCAGAAAAATCATAAACATTAAAAAATCACAAAATAAATAAAATATTTGATTAATAAAATATTAAAAATAAGAAAAACTTAAAAATTATAAAAAATCCCAAAATAAGAAAATTCACAAAATTTTAAATAAAATAAAAATGAAATTTAAATAAAACAAATATAAGAATAATAGATAAAATAAATATCAATTCAAGAAGAAATAATTTTATTTGTTTTATAAAAAACGAGAAAACACTATATTTTTTTTTTAAAGAATCATTATCTTCAAATGATTCTCGTGAACCAAATCAAAGCAAACAAATTAAATTCCAAGTCATTTTGTTCTCATTTTGTTGCTTATTAGTTGAGGTTTTCTGGATTTTATAACTAGATTAATATAGGGTATTTTAATAACTGCTAAAAGACTTGGATTTTAACTTGTTTGCTTTGATTTGGTTCACGAGAATCATTTGATGATACATATCAAATACGATTAATTATACGATGACATATATATAATATATAATAGTGACACGAAAAACAAATAACAATATAATTTAAAAAAACTTATGCAGGTGAAAGTCTAGGTGCTAAAAGATTTGGAATTTAATTTGTTGCTTTGATTTGGTTCACGAGAATCATTTGAAGATAATAATTCTTTTTTAAAAAAAATATAGTGTTTTCTCATTTTTTATAAAACAAATAAAATTATTATTCTGGAATATATATTTATTTCATCTATTATTCTTATATTAATTTTATTTAAGTTTAATTTTTATTTTATTTAAATTTTTGTGACTTTTCTTATTTTCGGATTTTTTTATAATTTCTTTTAAGTTTTTATTATTTTTAATATTTTATTAATAAAATATTTTAATTATTTGTGATTTTTTAATATTTATGGTTTTTATGATTTTTTTAATTTTTATGATTTTTTTTGAATTTTTAATGAATTTTAAATGATTTTTAATGAATTTATATATTTTATGTATTTTTATATTTATTATTAATAAAATATTTAAAAAAAAACCGACACGTCATCGTATTTGAACAGTACCGGTCACCTTTTTGACTTGACGTACAAGTAAGCCAAATTGGAGGTTTAATATGCTAAATTTGCCAACTTGAGTGTTTAAAGTGCTTGTAAAATACTCTCAGGGTTTAAAGTGTAAGTGGTTGCCACCTTGAAGGTTTTTTATGCGATTTTCCCTTTTTTTTTTTGAAACACATCCTACTCACTCCCATCTACTTAGAGCATCATTATTGGTAGGACTCATAAATTAGTCCTTAGCATATTTTAGTATTATTTGGATGTTTAGAGACAAAGGTAAGAGACAATGTTAAAAATGCAAATTATTGGTAGGACTTTTTTAAGTCCTTAACATAATGTAATTGTTTATTTTAATAACTAATGACACAGCATCTGCAGATACATTACATACATATATGATATACAAATAACATACTTTCATATAAAAAAAACTCTTGGTGTCAAATATTCGTTATTCAAGCATTTTGAGGAGTCAAAAAGGTATTAAAATCATCCCTACCACGACGCAATGGTGGACTGATACAAACTCGCGGCAAAGTAGGGCACGAGACTGAAGAAGAGTCTGAAAATCTCACACGTCGCAGTGATGAAGTCGCAGCCGATCGCTGGTGATCTCTTCATGACAAACGTGAACTCTTTGTCTTAAAACACTTCTCAAAACCATAGTCTCTGTCTCTTTATCAAACAAGAAATCAGAAGTCACTGGTTCTTGCACATCTCTCCCTGCGTTTCCACGGCTGTTGCACTTCATCATCTCCACAGGGAAATCGAAGTACATACGACGTGATCATGCGTTAGGGTCGTGGTTGATACCCAGGAACTGTACTCGAACTTCTCTAGCGAGGCCCGTATCGAAACAGTGGAGAAGGTGAAAAATAATGCATACATCTAACCCAATATCTAAATTTACGTACCAACTCCAACGTCTTTCAAAAATGTCCACAAAAACTAGTCTACAAATGATTAACCCATTGTATCCCAAAGCTAATCACCAAGTTACAAGAAAAAAAAAAAGAGTTAGACTCCATCGAGTACGTGGAGTGAACTCTCATCAAGAAACAGAATGAGTGAATTCTCATCAAGATACGAAATCTATAAAAGTTTCTCTAAAAAAAACAGAGTTATAAACAGAGTTGACTCTATTATATGAGTTTCATATCGAATTACTGAATCCCATCAAGAAATGGAATCTAAAAAATGGCTTTATCATTGAAATCCCTAAATCAACAGACATCCCTGAATCTACCCCAATTGTCAACTAAATTTACTGAAATCCGAAGCATACAATCACGAACGGCAATCAAATCGTCACAACATAAACCAACCAAACCCAGATTACGAAAGAGATAGATCGACAATGACAAATAAATCTTATAAATCTCAAGCCGGAGGACAGAGGAAGAACACATACCTGGACAAGCTTTGGAGGAGAGGATAGATCGGTGTGGAGTGAGCAACAACAAATCGTGGGGTTGAAATCGGGGGAGAAGCTGTGGCCAGAGGATTAGCCGTCGAGAGAGAATATGGAGAAGATGAAATGATTTCGACTCCGTAAACTCGACTTTCACATGACGCCACGTGTCCCTTAAGGACGACTTCGAAAACTTCTTAATTAAGGACATTTCTTATCCGTTTTCGTTTATTCACCCTAATTTTCATTTATTTTTTCGGCCATTAATACTAAGGACGCCACTAAGACACGCCGATAATGATGGTCTTACATTTTTAGCACACAACGCCCTGAGCAGTGAGCAGCTTTATTACTGGTCTAAGTCCAAGGAAATATTCGTCTAGAGGTCCTAAAAATTAGAAAAAATATAACACTGAAATATACCCTTCAATTTTATAAAAGAAAAACTCTCCAATTTATAAAAATAAAAACCTCTCTAATTTTTTTTACTAAATCGTCTATGACCTCAAAATCTCAAGACCGACATTATATAAGAGAATGTTAAAAAGAGAAAGAATAAAACATTGGTTCTTTCATTTCTGTGTTGTATTTGTATAGGAAGATGAAATCAAGAAAAAACATAAATTTAAAGCCTACTTCTATGAAAATTATGAGAAATCATCAAATAACCATCGGTTCTGGGAAATTATATTCCACTGAAAGCCTTTCTTAAGACCTTCGACAGTGACTTTTATATTCTTTTCTCAGGAGAAGAATGTTAACCTCGTTGATAGTATAATTCATGAGTTAGCAAAACTAATGTTTAAAGATTCTCAAAGTTTGCATTATTATAGGAGCCGAACAAAGGTTACTTGATCCTCGTCTGCCCATAGAGATCTCAGTGAACTTCAATTATCACCAGCTCAGATTTTTTTTTTTTTATCAACCACCAGCTCAGAGTTTGTGATCAATAATAACCAACGAACTAACGTGGAATATATATAAAACCATCAGAAGAAACAAGGCGGGATTGAAAGAAATCGTGGCGTTTTATTTTTGTCTTTGAAAATAAAGCAATCTTCTCACATGACTTATTAGAGACACATGTTTATTAGACCACACTCAATTTTTAAAGCCCATTTAAGTAACTTGCTGTTTGGGATTCATGAGTCGCCCGTGAACTATATAATGCAAGGATCTGGCTAACCCATGAACAATTAGTTAAAATGATTTTATTAGTCAACTATAGGCTCGCATCAACGACATATTGCAGCCCTTCATTCTGGATCTTCTTCAGTCTATATTAAGGTTACCTGGTTCAATCTGCCAGCTCGCAAAATATCCCACATCGTGAGCTGGTATCTCTCTATATTTCTTAGAATATGCAAATGTTACAAATGTCACTGGGAACGAGGTGAATGGGTCAAATGGGCTTGTCTAAGTTCGGATCCAGGAAAGTCCCCGGCCCACTTTTCCGCCTAGTACTTTATTGGATTTAACAGAACGGGGCTTACGTCTTCCAATGACAGCAATCTTGTTCTTTTGTTTCCACTACACGTGACTTCACGGCCAAATGAAACGTGACAATAACAAAAGTGGGAACATCGTAAGAAAGTACCATAGAGATCAACAAGTTCGAGCGACTAAGAAGCAATCTTATAAAGTTTCCGTCCTCTCGATAAAAAAAAAACAGTTGTGAAGTATTATTATTAGCTAGGTTCGTTTGCCTAAAACCAACGTACCATGCTCAATTCACTACAGAGAGAAGCTTATCTGGGGAATCAAAAGCTTTAAAAGGAAGACCCAACACTGAAATTTCAATTTTGCATAACTAAGCTAAACCTAACTTAATTAGACGGCTAAAGAAAACAAACAAAGAATTCAAGATCTCAATGGTTTGCTTCCAACATACACATTTTCGATAGGTTTTGGCAAGATTTAACATGAGGATCATGAATGCTAAATGGAATTCTATTTCTCTTTTGCCATCTCCTCCTTTTTTGGTTTAATATGGAGGACATGTAGATAGGCAAGGCATGGTGAATAGCAAGTGGGATTCCTGTAAATGTCTATAACTTACTGTTTACATATAGTATCAACGCATAACTCATATCTCCTTTGATGTCATTTCCTATAACATGACCTACGCCTCAGTCACCATCAGGTCAGCTGACCTAAAGATCATCTAAACTCTTACATGTGAACTAAAGATAGGTAATACCCAAAAGTCATTGATATCTCTTTTGGAGGAAACTAAAAAGATTCATCAAACCAAACCTTTAAGCTCAGAGTTACTTTAGATGATATGCTCGTCTATAGAATAAATTTATATCTTTGGATCCAAAGCATTGAATATAGTCCACCAAACGACAAAGCTAATTCATTGACAAATGAAGGAATCTTAGTGCAAACGACAAATTAATGAATTATGGACAAAAGAGTTTTACCTCGATGGAAAGAGGTGGAACAGTGGGGCCATAACGATCAATGACTTGACCATCTTTGTCAACCAAGAACTTGGTGAAGTTCCATTTGATCCTACTTCCAAGGAAAGAGGGTTTCTTTGACTTGAGAAATTTGTAGACTGGTGCTGCGTTTTGTCCATTCACACGCACCTAGAAGGGTAATAACTGATTAAATTGGGTTGTTTTATCAATAAAAAGTGTTGACTTTGAAGCAAAGACGGTTTAAAAAACAAAGCATATTGATGTCAAACAACTAACTAACATTTCAATATTTGGTTCTTCTGTTTGGTTTCTAAATGATTAAGGCATAAAACTAGTAGGTAGGTAGGTAGGTACCTTTTGGAAAACAGGGTACTCGGCCTTAAACCTGGTACAAGCAAACTCATGAGCATCTTGGCTTGTCCCAGGCTCTTGGTTCAAAAACTGGTTGCAAGGAAACGCCAATACCACAAACCCTGAATCCATATTCATCATTTTTTTTTATAAAAACACAGTATAAGCCTTTTTCATGGTTATATAAAAAAAAAAAAAACTAGAAGAATCATAATCATACCCTGATCTTTGTATTTCCGGTAAAGTTCAGTAAGCTGGGTGTAATTAGTTTCCGTGAAACCGCTGTTCCCCAAACCAAAACAGACAAAACAGGTTTTGATTGAAACCCTAGAAGAATCATTTTGAATCTGGGGATACAAATTAACAACAAAAAGAAAAAAAGAAAAGGACCATTTAGAAGCAACGTTGACGACGAGAAGAACCTTCCCTTGGTAAACGCTAAGGTCAACTTCCTTCCCGGAGCTATCCTAATTCCCCACCACACCAACCATACATTCAAAAAATTCAAAACAAGATGATTAGAAACGCTTCATCTTCTCGGCCGTTTCATTCTCGTAATAAATCAATAATACAAATAAGATTAAAGAGAGAAAAACCTTGACAGTGAATTCATGAATGGATTTTTCGGGCACTGATACAGAACCACCCATCTCTTTAACGCCGGAGCTCCCCACCACCAATTTCTATGTCTGTCTGCTGCTGTCTTATCCACCTCCTCCTCTTCCTCGTGTTTTTTTCTTCTAAATAATCTCAGGAGAATGGATATTCCAGTTGAATTATTAATTATTTTTTAAGCCTAAATAAAATTGAAATCGTTGTTTATTATTATCTTTAATAACACATCTTTCATACACAGGCTGGTCACGCGTTTACACATTTTATTATTTGATAACTTTCCTGCTGTTTGTTCCTGTCACGATGTATAATTTTGCTATATATAAACTTATTAGTTCATGTCTTTGATTTAGACTCATTATTACCCTAACAGGTATCAGAGAAGTTTACTTTAAGCTTTCAATCATTCGAATGAACACATCACCATTAGTAACAAAAACACAATTTGGTGGTAATAAACAGAGATCTTAAATGCCCCTTAGTACCTAAATAAATCACTCCTTTCCACATCTCTCTTTCTCTACAACAAGGCGTTTACCCAAAATATTCTCACGACTTCTGTTTTAGTTTTGTTGGCAAATACCATCATATGTACACTCTCACTGTCTCCCTTTTTTTTCTTCCATCATAGAAAAACGTCACTAGACAATACATCTCTCTCAA